TTCGGGGTCATTGATTGTTAAAATATAGGCCACTGTATCTGCGCGTCTCGTCGGACGAGAGCAGGTGCCTCAGAGGTCAACTGGCGCCGGGGGGGGGGGGGGGCATTCGCCCACCCAGCCTCCAACTCGCACGGCACACGGCTGATGCTGTGTTCTCTCAGCTAAAATCCAACCGCAGTGTGCCCCACTGGCTAGGCTGGGTGAGCCGGACGCCTGAATGCCACCAGAATCCCGTCTGTGTTCGGTGCGGACCGCACCGTGGCCGGTTTGGGTGACCCGGTTCCGGGTTCTCGGCGCGGCGTCTCCCACCGCGCGCGGCTTTCTGATCGGCTCCGGTTTGGGTGTGATTCGGGCCACTCTGCCCCCGGGTTCCATCGACTCAGCGTGCGTGACAGCGTCTGATGAACCGCAGCTGACAGCGGCTGACGGACGCCATCATACTACCTTCCGCCAAATTAAAACACCCACTTTCTCCGTCGATAGGGGCAATGAAGCGGAAAACGACACGGTAAACGGAGAGAAGAAGCACGCGCCAAATTTTCTGCCGAGTGCTCTTCTTGCCGCGGCAGTCTTGGAGAGGTTATTAAATATGATGACGGGTCCGAAGAGGATGTTTGCTCGGTTTGCAGCGAAAAATGCCGGGTGGTGTTAGGTGTCCCGTTCGGACACGTGCCCGCACGTGTCCGGGTGTACCGTGTCCGGTTCGTGCCCGTGTAAATATTTTCGCGTGGTCCTTGGCAATCTAAAAGATCCCCAACGAAAGGGCTGCCATAGACGGATTGGGCGTATCGGTTGAATGTGTAAACAAGGACACGAGCCGAATATGGCAAATTCATACATGCACTACATTCACGGCACCTATTTATTTTTGTCGCAGGTGTTGAAAGAATTAAAATCGTACTGACCAAAGAACGTTAATTTCCATGTCACCAAACGGTTCCTGTTCTTCGCTAGTCAGGAGCCCTTTCTATCCATTCCAAACTGAATAACTTCATCAGTGCATTTAAAACTATTGATCTGCAACATCTTCGATCTGATTCTGCCTCTTTTCTAAGGAAAAATCTTGAACCAGAGACTTCGTCAGGCTGATCGTGTGCTGTTTTGCGTCCTCAGCACACGAGGAATTGTTCTTATCGAAAAATCTGCCCGCGTACATACGGGCAGACAGAGGTGACTGCATGCCAATCTTGCGCATCTTTTATCGCAGATGGGTGCAAAAGCATTGAATACGACACGGTAAACGGAGAGAAGAAGCACGCGCCAAATTTTCTGCCGAGTGCTCTTCTTGCCGCGGCAGTCTTGGTGTCTTAGTCGGCAGTCGGCAGTCTTGGTCGTCGGTGTCTTATTTTGCGCACTGCGCAGTCGGTACTGAACAGACGTTCCGTGCGTGAGCGAAGGTCACATCAGACCCAGACAGACTCTCATCAGTGCGTGGCCACGCCGCCGCTGTCAAGCCTTGATGGCGACCCTGAACGTTTATCGGCGGGTGGCACTAACGCGGATATCCCCGCCATTCATTTCCCCGTGCCAATTTCCTGCATCGTATGATCACATTTCCTGCGACTGTGATTTGTCACCTTCCTGTGGCTATGAGCCAGGCTGTCTGGCAGTGTCCTGTCTGATCCCGCTCCGTCTGGTTTCCTCCCTTTTGGTACTGGCTCGGTTCGGCACCATTATGTCTGGTCCGGCCATGTCTGGTTCTTCTTATCTGACGTTGTCTTGTTTGCCTGTCATCTTGATATTACTCTCTCGGCTCTCCTTGACATCGGGGAAGGGTTGAATCTCCTCGTGGTTCGCGTGCTCAAGACGCCAGGTGCTGGCCGCTCCGCGGGACAGCTGGGGACCGGCTCTGGTCAGCGGAGGTCTCTGGAATCTCCAGCTGCTGTCTGGCCCCTCGACTCGCGCCTGGTCGGGATCGGCGGCGGCGGCGGAGTTGGTGCTGGCGACCCACGTGACCTCGGGTTATCGGGTCAAACAGGCCTCCACTGCCGGCATTGAGAAACGATCGATGTGGGGCTGCTGTTCCTAAGCCGGTTGACCTCGACGAACCCCCATCGCTGTCGCTATCAAGTATCAACAGAGATGACGGAAGAGGTCAGCTTATAAATCCAGAGGTCAACCGAGAGGGGAGGTGGGAGCCCTCGCCGAAAGCGCTGCAGAGTTCAGCGCTGGTGCAGGACTCCAAGCTTGCATGCCATCAGTTCAGTCCATAGAACACGCAGCGAGCGTATATCAGACAAGTATACCGGTCAAGTGCGCAACAAATCGCGTAACCAGGCGTGTGCGCAGTTGGCGTTACCCGCAAATCCACGCGCTGTGTGCGCAACGTGCTACAGTGATTTATTTTACTGTATTTCAGCTCCGTTGGTTTTCTTCACGCCTGCATTCGCCCGCCTGCAGTTGAATGGTTATTTTGCGGAAATACGCAAATGGGACAGCTCTGTTTGCAAAATTCAATGCAGCGTGCGGAGCAGGTAATATTTTAACGATGCCGAATTCCAAACCGTTTAGGATGAACAGCTCTGCTGCATAAAACTGGCGGGCGGGGTGGAGATGCGCTCTTCCCCATTTTTTTGTTTGTTTTATTTTACATGGATCAGCAATGCAGATTAACTTTACTGGTGTGTTTCTTCAGAACGGGTAGGCGTGTTATCGCCTCTGATTTGGTTCTAAACAACTTTCATGCTCGTCAGATGCATATCAGCTTTACATGTAGCCTGTCATAAACTCGCAGCGAACACAATAGGCTATGTGGCGGTAGAATGCAGTGTCGAGTCGTACAGTCGTACACCGTGTGATAGTGCGTTATAAAACCCTGCTGCATCGACCATGAATTACAAATAAGTAGGTACCCAATACTGTGAGAGGGAAATTGACTAACGTAACTAAAGCCAGCCATTAGATCGTATTGGATGGTCCAAGTGAGCCACAGCTTTAATGCACGCAGGACCCAAATACCGGTACTGTGTAAAGACAATCCACCCGAACATTGGCAGAGAGATTTTGTTACGCCCTACTATTGCCCATACCACTATCACGTTTCTAATTATCATATTTTATCTTTTCTCGAATCATTAGCCTTTGATGTCGAATTTTATGCCGATCTTTTTCAACGTTAGATATATCGACATTTAGTGATATACACATATGTGCAAACGCCATGAGGACCATTTATTTTTTTGTGATACATCATTATTTTTACGCATGATTTACTCCGCGAAATAACGTGCATGAGAGGTGCGGGCTGTGTTTTAAGAACGCTTTAATCATGGACGGATTTGCCTGCAGACTCGCGTGTGGCACGAGTGGCTGACCTTTCTGTGGGACGACCAATTCACTCACGATATAGAGCGTGTCTCATAGTCGGGCTCTGAAATATGAATATCAAAGGCCTGATCCGCCGCGGGCTGCTTGATGAGCCAGCGCTGCAGAGTTCGTTACGATATATCATTCAACATCAAACAGTATGATATCCACAAATATTCGCAATGCTCGCAATGCTCCAGAAAATTTGACTTTTAACTGCGGATTTGTTTGCTCTGGTCATCATTTCACAATAGAATGCGCTTCATATATCATTGTGTAGCCTCTTTGGCCGTTGACCTCAGCTGTGATGGTTTAACAAAACATTTCACAGTTTTTCAATGGCTCGGCCAGTCAGTTGTCGGAAAATCTGCAGGCTCACTGCACTGTAAGGACGCGATTCGTTCAGACGGAGTGAGGTCGTCAGTCGATCCACAAATCGCAGTCATTTCTCATGGACACGGCTTTTGGGAGCGTCAAATAGGCTCTCCTTTGATAGGTCATGACTGGAATGTGTGTGGCGTTGTTATGCTTCGAGACGGACCTACGCGGCGGGAGTGGGGATGAAACGCCAGTCTCATGTGATTCGCATCCGATTCAGATTCGAGCGTATGACTAGTTGCCTGCCGTTCATTGTGGCACCAACTGCCGAGACGTTTCTCACATAACAATGACGGAATCACACAACTTCAGGAGTACGTGCGTCGTAATCACTCCTCGCTTATCACGCCGGCGCTTTTGTGAGCTTAGCCACACGATAACGTGACCCGAATCCATTCAACTATCCTGCCGACGCCGTGGAGGGGCGCAATTCCAGCGCCTTGTGGGCCCGATGGGTCGCCGGTTGTTGCACAGTGACTTGCTACGGCAAGTCATGAACGATTTATCATTGCATGCAACCCATGCACTTGGTGACAGGAGTAGAGAGGTGTGATTGTATAGAGAGGCATGAGTTCACGGTCAAGGACTGGAGAGTATTGTTTATGAGCTAGACAGCTCGTTACGATGAATTATACCTTTTCATATACATAGGTATTAGGTGTGGTGTGCTTGTAACGTTATATCCATGCGACTGTGCGGTGAAACAAAGCTTGTTCATAAATAATTATGAGCAATGTCCCGTTGTCTCCACAGTTGACAAAGCTGGTCGATTCTAGACAGACCTTGTCCTGTGTGTCGCGCGAGTTGAACGAGCCTGACTGCTGACACGTTCAGCTGTCCATGCTGTGTGGTCCAGGGGCCCTCCGCTGGCACGTGCTGTACCGAGCCGATACCCGTAGTGACTGGCCGCAAGTCGGCCTCATACACGTTAGCTGCGTCCTTTGCCATTGTTTCTGGGTGCATTGTTTGTTAGCAGCACGCCGTGATGCATAAACTGCCTTCATTGGAAGCGGAGGAGTCGGTAAAAACGCTGTGATTCAGCCAAACGGGAAGGCTGTTTCCTTTCGCAGTCTTTGAAGTCATTCACCTAGCAGAGTTTTTATGATCGTTCTTTGACTATCAAATGATGAATTTGGCTTTGTTTGTCATCGTGTAAAGTTTGTGAAGTGAGCCTCAATGGGCAATAAAATCGATTCTATTGGAAGGGACAATGAAATCGATTTTACTCGTACTAGAAAGGACAATGATGGGCACCAACTTGTTCGTCACATCGTCAGACATTGCACCCATAACATACCTCTCTTTCTTTCTTGCAGAACTGCAGAGGACCACCAAGTCAGCAGACTCGCAATCTTCGGTTGTTCGTGGACTCCACCCCTTATCCGGGACGGGTAATATCCCCGTACCCTTCTTCAACCACATCTCTCCACTGGGGACGAACCTCACCAAGCCAAGCCCACGGATCCCCAATGAAGGCCTCCAAGAGTCGGAGCGAGGCGAGCCTGGCGCCAGCGCCGGCACAGTACGCCTCCACCCCACACCTCTTCGTCTTCCAAAGTAACGACGATGCGGCGGTGCTGCGCAAACCGGAGCCGATCTACCAGTCGGCGGCTGACATCAGGGCCGGGCGGCGCCTCTCGGCCGCGCAGACCATCTCGGAGAAGTACGACTCCTATCACAGTCTGGCCAGGGATGATGAGCCGCTAGCTGTTGATGAGGCGGACGTGGCGCAGATTGAGGCCTTCTTCGCCGGACATAAGACGCAGGTGGGTGGTGCTCAGTAGTCAGTAGTCAGTTTTGTGTTTTGATGCTCGGTTGTGGCTTCGGGATGTAAAAAAGATGAAAAGGATATTTTTATCGTCATTAGTTTTTGGCGTGGTGACGATTCTCAGGTAATATTGGAATTTACATAACACCGAATTTGTTCTTAAAAAGTTGGCTTTGTCATGTAGATAAAAAGAGTTGAGCTCTAACAAGTGCATCTCTGATTTCTACCAATACCGTAAGCGACCCAATCATCACACGGTATGTGATGACTGTGTTGATTATCGAACAAAAGTAGTCACATCGTTATTTATCGAAAGACTTCGTTGTTTTTTTTTTTCTCGTTTGGTAGACCACCATCTTGCGGACGTATCCGCGCATCTGATAAAACTAAAACGACTGGTCTCGGGTCCTGTATTTAGAACCGGTATTTTGATTTGCGATTGACATTATTGCAAAAATGCATTTCCCTCGCCCTTGAAAATGGATCACAATGCGGGCTTTCACCGTAAAATGGGCTGTTATCACGACCAGTCCGATCACAACAGCCGCGCTGCACCCTGAAGTTCGGAGTGACATTTAGCAGCCTGCTATCTTGTGAGAATGCAACTGCATTTGGCAGGGAAAACGCCCCTAACGTACGATAGGCATTATTTGTGCAGGCCAGAATCGGGTTTACTGCTGTCGATGATTCAGATAACTCTAAAAGGTTTGCATGCTGTAGCTATTTGGAGGAAACTTTAGCGGCGTCTGGGTATCAATGAACGATGATCTAGATGACGGTATGTTTCCTTTATTTTTAGCTGTGCGTAGGCGCATACAAATGCCATTTCATGGACATCACGATATCCTTGGTGCGGTTGGCGTGAGACATATTTCCTTGGCTTGTCTGGGGATCAAATTAGATTCGATCTCAAGTGTCTGATATATCAATTCAGTCGGTCTAGTTCATAGGTATCGCTGTTTTTTTTAAGCTCAGTGAGCGAGACTGATCAATGAGTATGGCGAACACTTCGACGTCGATAAAGATATCTACATAATATCTTGTCCGTTACAGTTACCTACACATTGCTTTCTCGCAACGCACGATACCTATCTGCACCTAGACACTGAGTCTGCTCAGAAACCTCAAATTAGCCCATGCATCCTCGAAAAGCACTGCAAAAACGTTGTCCAAATAAACACAATTGCCGGAGCCGGGCTCCCCCATCCTTCCTCCGTCGGCCTCAGCTCTTACAAATCAACTTGACCCATATGTCTGGTTTGTCCCCCAGCTGGGTACCCCTCTAGCCTGGTCAAGTATACATTACTGGCCATCATTTCCATGAATGACTGTGGCCTTTCGAGCATGGTCGACACGCTTTGAGCGTGACTGACCAATGACTTCCAGTGCTACTCGGCTCTCCAATATGACCGATGGGTCGGCTCGGTCTGCGCCGCACAGTGGCCTTGTCGCAGACGCAGCAGCCGGCGCCGACTCGGTGACGTTTGTGCCTGTGCGTCACGAGCGCTCTATAGTGGACTGTATCTTGTTTCTGTGTGACTGGGCTTGGCTACTGGTCCATGGCATTTAGGTGACTGAAACGCAGACCCTCATGATACAAGGATAAGTAGGGATAGAGGCCACGATGGCGTGACTCGAGGGGAGGTTAAAGAGTCGCGCTGACGCAACGGGGGTTTGTAGGACAGAGTCCACGATGGCGTGAACAGAGGTGAGGAATAGAGACCGTGATGGCACGATCGGGCGAGGTTGGGGCTGTGCCGACCTACCTTTAAGAGAGATAAGGATAGAGGTCACGATGGCGTGACACGAGGGAAGGTTAAAGAGTCGCGCTGGCGCAACAGGGGCTCGTAAGGACAGAGTTCACGATGGCGTGAACAGAGGTGAGGAATAGAGACCGTGATGGCACGATCGGGCGAGGTTGGGCTGCACCGACCTACCTTTAAGAGAGATAAGGATAGAGGCCACGATGGCGTGACACGAGAGAAGGTTAAAGAGTCGCGCTGGCGCAACAGGGGCTCGTAAGGACAGAGTCCACGATGGCGTGAACAGAGGTGAGGAATAGAGACCGTGATGGCACGATCGGGCGAGGTATAGGGAGGAGGGTAATTCTGCGTTTGAAGTGTAAGTGAAGTGAAGTGTAACTGGAATGTATACTGTGCCGCTATCTTGATTCTCTCACTCCTCGCTCTCGGTGATCACTTCCTTTGTCACACCACTGCACTGATTTCACAGTCTGTATTGCAAAGAGCAAGATCCGGCAAACCAATTACACTGCTTGAAGGCTGCGACGAGCGGAACGAACAACCGCCCGGCTCGACGACTGAGGCAGAACAGAGAGTAACTTGAGTATACTGTGCCGCTAACTTGAAGTCTTTTGCTCAATCGCTCCAGGTGACCACTTCCTTGGACACACCACTGCACTTATTCACAGTCTATCTTGCGATGAGCAAAGAGCCGGCAGGAAACCACCACACTGCGTGGAGGCTGAGCCGAGCGGAGCGAAACAACCGCACGGCGCGAAGACTGAGAGAGAACAGAGAGAGGGAGGTGTTTACAGCAGGTTTAAATACGACTGGCAATGGGGTCACACACAGGGGAGATAGCGAGGGAGCAAAGCAAACGGTATTAGGCAAACTAACTGGACGCGACGAACCGGAGATAAAGAAAGAGATAGGGCGCGACGCAGCGCGCCAGCGGCCGCCGGGACGGACGCAGCGCGCTAAACAAACGTAACCGGGCCCGCCGCGCCGACCACGTTCCCCGTGAACAAAGCTATCGACGGGCGTCGCCGCGAGAGGGGTCAGGTCCGGCACACACAGGTGCGCGCAAAACACCCCCACTGGGGCGGGGGGGGGACGGCGCGGCAGCCCGCTCGGCTGACCCACCGGCCGCCCGCCACCCTGCTCGTGAGACGGGCGACAGGACAGTTTTGGCGGTCACATCCCGCCCCCCGTGTTCGACTCTATGAGAACACTTAACTCTGTACCGCCACTGATATATCGGCTGGTAGAAGGCCTCGACGGGGCGGAGTCCGGACCGGGCGAGAAATCGGCAGTTCCCACATATTTACACATATTTACATTACTGTTCACAGCACTTGCTCACTGTTCTCCCATCACCGCGATCTGGGCGACGACAATCTACCCGCTTATCCTCCCGCTGTCTTGGTCTGGACAGAACGGGCTACTTGATCTGGTCCCGGGGACACCTGGGTCATGCGGGCGAGCGGTCGCGTAGCCGGCGGTGTGTTGGAGTCGGCGAGAAGCGCTGGATCTCCGGCGAACACGCTCTTGATGCCCCTCCGTCGGTTGCGTGGCTGGGACGAGGGCATGCACTGCTCGCGGTGCTGCCGCCGCCGCTGCTGCTGCTGCTGCTGCTGCTTGTCGCGTTGACTCTGGGACGAGGGCATGCACCGCCCCCGGTGCTGCTGCTGCCGCTGATGCTTTCTGTTGCGCGGGCTCTTGGACGAGGGCATGCACCGCCCCCGTAAGGGCCCAGCCGAAGTCGGTTCGGATGGCGACTGGCTGCCCTGGTGGTCCAGCTCTCACCTCGTGCTGGATCACAGCTTCGAGAACATTGGCACCCAGAAGCAGCTGCACTTCGCCTTTGGAACAGTCTGGCACATGTAGCTTCTCCAGGTGACGCCATGTTTGTCGGTGCCGTTCGCTGATTCGTGGCACAGAGATGTTCATCTTCGGTACGGCCCACACCTCGGATAATGTTATCCGCTTCTCGCTGGCCTCAGGGGACAGACCTTGCAGTTCCATTACCAGCTTCCTGGCCACTTGGCCCTTTCCGGTCCCTTGAATCGTCTGCATGCATAGTTCCTGCGGCTCGCCTGAAATGCCCAGCTTGTCCGCTAATTTCTGACTGCATAGGGATGTTTGGGCGCCAGGGTCTAGTAGAGCCAGCGTGTCTCTGGTCCCTGTCCTTCCAAAGACTCGGACTGAAACTACTTGCAGTAGCGTAACATTGCCTTCGTCCTCTTGATGGTGTCCCGAGGCTGTCACGACCCTCTTCTGCTTGGTTGCGAGACGTGTCCTCGAAACTGCTTCACCAGTCTTTCTCTCCGTTTCCGCGGTTGACACTTCGGGTAACTGAGGCCTGACTGGCTGGCCGCCGTGGAGGAGAGCGTGGTGCCGGTACTTGCAGCCGTTCTTCCCACAGCGTTTTGCCTTCCGGCAGTCTTTCACGCGATGGCCCTTCTTCAGGCACCGAAAACATCGTTGCTCACCAAACACGTGCTTCAACCGGGCGTCGGGAGATTTTGCAGTGAACAGCTTGCACTGATCCAGATTGTGGTGTTCTCCGCAGAGAGAACATTCCTGTTTCTGAATGGGCCTCGCAGCCGTGGTAAAGGCCTGTCTGCTGACAGTCTCAACGGCGCTCTCCTTCCTGTGCTTACGGCTGGCTTCTTCAGAGCTCTGCTTTCCTTTTGGGCAGCTTCTGCTTATCTTGACTTGAGTCTGCAGCCACGCATCTACATCCAAAAGCGACGGTCTTCCAGGTTTCAGCTCCAAGGAGAACTTGCCCCACTCGCGCCTCAGCTCTCTTGGTAGTTTCTCCACTGTTCGCTGTAGGCTGTCGCTGCTGTTCAGGTCTGCGTCCGCTCCTGTGTTCTGAAGAATAGTAACTGCACAGTGTACGGTTGCTTGAAACCTTTCTAGCGATTCTGCGTCGTCTTCACGTGGGTCCGGAGCGTTGAAGATGCTTTTGAGGTTGTGCCTAATGATGTCATCGTCCTGGCCGAAACGCTCTTCAAGCGCCTTTAGAGCTTGGTGGTAGAGATTTCCGTCGTATAACATGCCAGATATAGTCTGCTGTGCCAGACCACTTACAGATGATTGTAGGTGGGCGATTTTCTCAGTGTCGGAGAGGGATGGCTGGTCATGGACCAGCACCTTGAATAACCCAACCCACCTCGGCCATTCTGATGCCTTTCCGCTGAAGGTAGGGAGAGTTAGTCTTGGAATACTCTTTGTGAAGGCAGAAAACGCGGTCGCTCCATCTGTGCGCGGCGCCTGCTGCGGGCCTTGCAGTCCTTGTATCCATGACGTCGCGTTTCCCACCTTGCGTGATTCCGATCTTTCAACTGGCTCTTCAGGACGCACTCCCACTCGACGGGCCGCTCTGGTGATCGCTCCTTCACACACTGGTTGCACTTCCAGCTGACGGTTCCTTGTCACAACTTCTTCGGCTCCGAACAGCTCATCCTCAAAATCATTTCTTCTTTCCATTTGGAGGTCATCGCTGAGCTCTTTGCGCAGACTGACTTCTAGCTGGGCGGCTTCAGCTTCATCTACGGCGTCTTGTAGCTGTTTTCTCCTCTGAGCTTCCTTTTCTTGGCGCCGTCTCTCCTCTTCTTGCTTCTGCTGAATTCGTCGTCTCTCCTCTTCTTGCTTCTCTTGAAGCCGCTCCTCTTCTTGCTTGCGCTTCAGCTGCTGTAGGCGTAAAGACTTCAACTTTGCGGCGACTTCTGCTTCAACCTGCAAAGCTTTCGAAGCGTTACTTGTGTTGCTTCTTTGAGCGGCAGACACATGAGAGCCGGCTTCCGATGGCGCCTCATCTTTGCGCTCAGCAAGGTGCTGAGTGATTCTTTCCCCGATTTCTTGTCTGTCGTGCTCAGCCTTTGCGCAATACGCTTCTGCCTCAGCCCTTTCAGTTTGAGATGTCAGGCAGGCTTCTAAAGCTTCATTTGCTGCGATGACACCTTCCAGGGTCGAGTCAATGGTTTCCAACAAACCTTCTAGGCGCGACCGACTCCCACGGGCTGCGATGATCGCTTCCGCTCGGTGACACGCCCGTGAGAATGCTGCCAACTTTTGCCCCCGTTTCCGGCGCAGCAGTTTCAAGTTTTCATTGGCTGCTTCCTGACGAGCTTCTTCCTGGACGCTCTCTTCTTGCTCGGCTGCGCCGGGCTGATCTGTACCTTCTGTTTCTGACATGATGCGGGCTCTATCCGGCCCGGAGGACCAGTTAAATGTCGCAGACGCAGCAGCCGGCGCCGACTCGGTGACGTTTGTGCCTGTGCGTCACGAGCGCTCTATAGTGGACTGTATCTTGTTTCTGTGTGACTGGGCTTGGCTACTGGTCCATGGCATTTAGGTGACTGAAACGCAGACCCTCATGATACAAGGATAAGTAGGGATAGAGGCCACGATGGCGTGACTCGAGGGGAGGTTAAAGAGTCGCGCTGACGCAACGGGGGTTTGTAGGACAGAGTCCACGATGGCGTGAACAGAGGTGAGGAATAGAGACCGTGATGGCACGATCGGGCGAGGTTGGGGCTGTGCCGACCTACCTTTAAGAGAGATAAGGATAGAGGTCACGATGGCGTGACACGAGGGAAGGTTAAAGAGTCGCGCTGGCGCAACAGGGGCTCGTAAGGACAGAGTTCACGATGGCGTGAACAGAGGTGAGGAATAGAGACCGTGATGGCACGATCGGGCGAGGTTGGGCTGCACCGACCTACCTTTAAGAGAGATAAGGATAGAGGCCACGATGGCGTGACACGAGAGAAGGTTAAAGAGTCGCGCTGGCGCAACAGGGGCTCGTAAGGACAGAGTCCACGATGGCGTGAACAGAGGTGAGGAATAGAGACCGTGATGGCACGATCGGGCGAGGTATAGGGAGGAGGGTAATTCTGCGTTTGAAGTGTAAGTGAAGTGAAGTGTAACTGGAATGTATACTGTGCCGCTATCTTGATTCTCTCACTCCTCGCTCTCGGTGATCACTTCCTTTGTCACACCACTGCACTGATTTCACAGTCTGTATTGCAAAGAGCAAGATCCGGCAAACCAATTACACTGCTTGAAGGCTGCGACGAGCGGAACGAACAACCGCCCGGCTCGACGACTGAGGCAGAACAGAGAGTAACTTGAGTATACTGTGCCGCTAACTTGAAGTCTTTTGCTCAATCGCTCCAGGTGACCACTTCCTTGGACACACCACTGCACTTATTCACAGTCTATCTTGCGATGAGCAAAGAGCCGGCAGGAAACCACCACACTGCGTGGAGGCTGAGCCGAGCGGAGCGAAACAACCGCACGGCGCGAAGACTGAGAGAGAACAGAGAGAGGGAGGTGTTTACAGCAGGTTTAAATACGACTGGCAATGGGGTCACACACAGGGGAGATAGCGAGGGAGCAAAGCAAACGGTATTAGGCAAACTAACTGGACGCGACGAACCGGAGATAAAGAAAGAGATAGGGCGCGACGCAGCGCGCCAGCGGCCGCCGGGACGGACGCAGCGCGCTAAACAAACGTAACCGGGCCCGCCGCGCCGACCACGTTCCCCGTGAACAAAGCTATCGACGGGCGTCGCCGCGAGAGGGGTCAGGTCCGGCACACACAGGTGCGCGCAAAACACCCCCACTGGGGCGGGGGGGGGGACGGCGCGGCAGCCCGCTCGGCTGACCCACCGGCCGCCCGCCACCCTGCTCGTGAGACGGGCGACAGGACAGTTTTGGCGGTCACAGGCCTGAATGGCCTGATTCGATGGGAAGGACAGTTGCGGGTGCGGCCCACTCAGAGTCCAAGACGCCAGTGGCCTTGTCTTGTCCGGTCCGCTGGCCAAGCGTGCAGCTGCCGACGGTAGCCGCACGGCGGGGGGACCCTGACCAGTGCTGGAGCGCCGCTGGAACGCATGGGAGTCATGGATGGAAACTGAAACTGGACCATGTGCTCGATACGTTAGACGACTAGAATGGACGGGGAGGGGTAGATGATGAGTAGGTAATTCAGCTACGGTAAAAGAACTATTGGAATGCTGAAGGAAATAAAACAACTCTGAAGGGATCCCTCTCTCGTGCAATGGTCTAGGTTATCTTCGGGGAAGCCCAACCAATGTATGCAGCATCGCTTTGGTATTCCGGGTAGTCCCACCTACTACAATTACAACTGTACCGTATAATTACACCAGCCACGAGTCCAGTCGGGATCTGACCGGATCGGGGCCGTTGGCTCACCGCGGCGCATACGGGAGGCCCTCAGCTCCGTAACTGGGCCGACTGAGGCCCCCTGCCGAGCTGCGCGCAGCGCGGGGAAGGATGTGAGTTTTTGTGGCACGGCAGGGGTGGTCGGACAACGGCAAACACTCGCCGCGCCGTGATGGCGCAGTTTTGGGTGTTTGGTCAACGCTCAAAAGACCGTAGAGATGCTACATTAAAACGGGCTTCTTTTCACTTTTGTGACAGTGACAGACTGTAGAGTAAAAGGCGGTGAGCGCTATTTTCTGGAAAGGAGAACGAATTCGGTGCACTTTGGACTGGTGAACGGCTGATGAGAAACTCAGCGCTCGAGGTTCCGGTTAGCAGTAAAAGCTCAGCTCAATTTAGCCAGGAACGTCATTTCGGAACCACTGCCTGGTTGAAGCCGGTACCACGGTTGAATGTGATGTGCCATCACGATGCCATCACGTGGCTGCATGCGAGAAATATCACCCCAAGTTATGCCCCAAGTCACATGTGACTCAAACTTAAATCCTGCCCACCATGCAGAGTCGACGGGAATCCACATCACGCATATTCCCAATGTGTGACTCATCCTTGCGGAGACAGCCTGTTGACGTTTGCCGCTAGTCAGTCCTGGCTGTATCTCGGAGAAGGCGTTTCATCACAGAGTTGAACGATCGCGTCGACACGTGATATAAACACTGGAACGATGCTGTGCCACATTGCCAGACTGACGTGGCTCGAAGGGACCGAGCTTTCCAGTTCCACGCGCCGCGTGCGGTCGCCGGGTCAGGTCGTGGATAAGGGAGCGCGTGTGCATAGCGGAATCTTGTGTGCAATGACGCGTGTTTACTTTTTAGGTTGCTGTCTTCGCTGAAATGTCGCCAGTCCACCATCCAGAGTCCAGACTGCGAGATATTGGTTGGGTTAAATGCGTATGGATGAATAATTCCAGGCATAAAAAATGAAATATGATTGATGGTATCGGGAGGCATTGAGGGAAATAATTATGAATGTGCGTCTTAGGACGTAGTGACTTTTCCAGAAAGGAGCTTTCCTGTCGTAATAAAACTCATCTGAAAATTTATTAATTAAAAATCAAATTAATCAAGCATTGTATGAAAACACTCATTGTACCAAAACATTTATTTGCTCGAATTTCTGAAATTTCCGTCTATAAAGGCGCCAACCTGACCGACATTCACCAGACGGCCCCTCACTCAGTTTCATTCCCCGTCGAGTGGACCAAACAGTCAGCGGCCATGGGTCAGCCTGGCCACGCCGATCTGTAAGCAGAAGCTGTTGACTGTATACCGGCCAGGATAACGACGAAACGACCCACGTCATACCACTCACGACCTCACGGTACCAACCTAAACAAGCTCTGGGCTCGGCATGCGGTTCATGCACGCTGCACGGTGCACCAGGCCTGCACAGTCGGGTGCACGAACTCCCACGGCCAGGCTGGCTCTCTTTGCCGTCGGCACCGACTGTCAGACTTTCCGGGTGGCGGTGACCGCTGCCGTGCAGGGCGAAATGAACCGCCACTCATCGATCATTCTGTAAAGCCAATTGTGGAGTGGATAAGCGGTGTTTGAATGCCACGAACGGCCGTGTTGGTGGCCTTATTGCTCATTGTGGGAGTTGGTTGGTGTTATTGGACGTTATTATATAAGTGCTCCATGAAAGCGGGGTGGGATTAGGTATGTGCACGACTAACACGCATTAGCGGCATTACATGCGTCAATGTCCCGTAGAGGAAGGATCAGCGACCAACGAACCGTCAGACTGTCACTTTGCTTTTGCTTGGCCTTCGAACTATCAACTTATGCACTCTGGCAGCTTTGGCAGCTTGACAACCTCTGTCAACTGTAAATTAAGACTTATATTTACCACTCCTCTTTTGCTCGCTCCCTTCTCTTGTCATCTTCGCCGCTCTCCCCTCTTCACCAATCTGACCCCCCTCTCTCTGCCCCGCAGGTGATCGTTTGCCGAGCGCTGGCCAACATGTACCTCAGCTCCGAGTCCAACTCGTGGGAGCTCAAATACACCGGCATCCCTGCACTCGTCGTCGACTCTGGCAACACGCGCAGCCGAGGACGACGGCAGGTTCAGCTCGTCCTCGCCGAGAAGGGCACCAGCTTCATGCTCTGGCGTGATCTGGTGGACTCCATGTCCTCCTACTCATCTCCTGACCCCAGTTTCCATACGATGCACCTCTCCACCGATCGTCGACAGCGGGTTGGACTGAGCTTTGACGATGTGGAAGCAGCCAGAGCGTTTCAGACGCAGCTGACAGCCATCTGCGCCGAAGGAGACGCGACTGCGACGACTCCGGCGCAGCGGAAACGGAGGAAGAAGGAGGGACGGCCGGCGCGGCCACGTAAGGAGGACATCTCGCAGCCCTGCTGCTTCCAGCACGTGAACAGCGTGACTCTGAGGGACATGGACCGGTTCTATACGCTGCAGAGCCTCATCGGCAGCAGGGTCACGTGATCGGACACCCTCAGCGACCACCGGGTCACATGAATGGACCTGCACCTCAGCAGTCCAGTCACGTGATCGCCGGAATTCATCAACGTCGGGTCATGTGATGTTAACTCGTGCCGGCAGCCCCGTCACGTGCTCAACGGGCCCCATCGTTTTCCGAACCACGTGACTGAATATCTCACATAGACACCGTGTCACGTGACCCCGGCTGGGTCATGTTTCGGCCGTGCTGATGGCTGCTTTCCCCGGCGTGGCAGTGACCTGTGCGGTGTCTCCGGCCGGAACTGTGCTAGCCCGCACCGGTGGCCCCCGGCGCCGGGATGAGATTCATTTGTATTCAGCGTGCGAGTGTGTCTTGTCAGCACAAGGATCGCATAGGCGGTGGTCTTCGAAATGCAAAGTGCCGAAAGAAGGATGGGTATGGGACAGACGCTCACACAAACAGGGTGATTTGGTGGGCGCCGCTGAAGGACAAAAGGCGAGCATTAAGTGCGTGTTTTATCGAGAATGGTGTGCGCAACAGCTGCTGTGACGTTTTAATGTGACGTGAGCTTGTGACGCGAGCCGTCACACAGGAATCACACCAGGCAGCGTCACATAACGTGTGACTCTGTTTTGGTGACGACTCCGGCGCCTGATTTGCGATACAGCTGCGTAAAAAGTGAGCGTGCGATCCAATCTGATGTGTGTGATACCGTGTTTAAACCCGTGACAACGAGTCAGCGTGTGTGCTGTCGTGAGACCTTCGCGACTTTTGGTGTGTCATTCTCATTACCTTACGACGCTGTGGTTCAAGCACGTATCAATCGTTGACCTTGGCCTGACCTGAGAGTCCTTATGTCCGAGTGGGTTGTGATCGCTCTCGGATGACCCCGAGGCGTGACCTTGTGACCTTTCGGTGCTTTGACGGGCTCGCTGGACACCGGCCTGATAAATGACCCTCACGACTGAACGGCCATTGTGCGACCGGCCGGGCTGCGTTCAAAGTCGCACCAGCCGGTTGAATGACCTCCCGGCCCGGTCCGGCCCGGTCCGTGGGGTGTGGGAAAGAAGTGAAATGTGTACTAGTCAAACAGCTGCTGGTGACCGTCGGGTGGCTAAGGGTCGCATCACAGCGGAGGGTCGCCTGCGCCTGAATATTCATAACCATGGTTGTTTACTGATACAGCTGTTTGCGGAAAGCGCAGTGTACGTTCGTGAATCGTTACATGCCACCTAGCTGGAGAATAAAGCCAGTGACAATACGGAAAATGTTTACTTACTGGGATCTGATAAAAATAAACTACCATTTTCTTTGCTCACGGGCCTCGCAAGTGTATGTTGTGCATTTTTTAACAGCATTCATGCATTGAATAGCCATAGACGAGTCAGAGCTGCCTATGTAAGTCACCAGCATCATTTAATTCATTCACTTAACGAGTAGACTCCCATGCAGAGAGCTTATCATGACCCGTCGCAGACAGTCACGGCGAAGCACGATTTGCGATTTATTCGGCACACTGCCTCCATGTGGGGCTTGTTTGAATAAACGAAACGTCATTGGTATGCTGGGGACCGTTAGTCGCGCTGGCAGACAAGCCTGGCTACGGGACCCATGCTGAGACACACTAGCGGGTCATTCAGCTTTCGAGGGTTCAGAATAGGATGGGACTGATGGGGACGGGAAAATGTCACCGGATATGCGTAATTTCCTGCCTAGCATATCGCAGTTAGGAATATGAGCAGAAGTGAACGGCCCTTGTCAATCTGTCCGTCCAGAACTCCGATCCGTAGAGTGTCTGTGTCGGTAAAGGCATTCGTGGTGCATTGAGCCTGGGTATCAGATAAAATGTTCATTATAATAACATGTTGATTGTTAATCAACAAAAGCGATATCACACTTCTTGTATGCTGTGATGAGTCGGCTACACGGACAAAACAAATCTGACCCGTCGCTAGACGAGTCTGATTTCATCGGCAAGAGGGCAGCACCATTGCCTTTGATAGATCACGTTGAGGTCATGAGAGGTTCCTGCACCACACTAGGAATACAACTGACAGCCAACACTCACCTCCAGCATCCTCAGTAGATGCCTATCCTATGCAAGAGTGTCCTCAGATTTGACAGATTCCGACTTTTTCAGAGAAGGAGGAACTTCCTGCCTCCTGAGACATTGCTTCTCGCTAAACTTGGACAGCATGCTTTGGCACGGTCGAGCACAACCATTGAACACCTGCATGCCCTGTGTGGTAATGCGGTATTCATATTCCATAGTAACAATGGGAATAAGAGATAAATTTATTAACATTACTCAGACGAAACACCACACAGAAAACTGCACCAGAGATATGTGTCAATGTGATCGATTCGATATGAATGATAATCAATACACATGCTTTCAACTCACCCTTGCACACGTTGAAGGAAATATGCCTGCATCTAACTATTTATCGTAAGGCAGGAGACCTATTATAAATATATCGACGAGCAATTAACCAACTACTAAGAGACAAGCTTGGGATATCAGTGCTTGAGTTCAAGGGCAGTTACGTCAACTCCCATTCAGCATGGCACAACATGACTGAAAATGTTAGGCATATGTAGACGGTCGCAGACTTCAAAGGAGCAAGCACATCAAGCAGACATACTTGTCTTATTATCTTACAATATCGTTGAGATAAATCATCTAATGAGAACGACATTATCGCCAGGCTAATGTAGTACCTTTCATTCATCCCCGAGATCCTGGAAACCCCGCGCTGTCACCAAATGCTGGAAATTCGGGCCGTGATCCACTTTTTGTTATGCCAACAAACTGAGCTCCAGACGGCGCTTTATGGGGGTCTTTTCAGATTACCGTCTACAGGTCGACAGCGCCTGTGATGTCTTTCACGCCCCTGACTCAAGTCATGTATGTCCAGGCTTTCGATCCATCAGATCTTGTAGAATTAGTCAGTCTACATAGTTTACCACCAACCCTCCGGTTTCAACTAACATGATGACTTCGAATCCCTGACTTATGCATACCTTCCTAGCACCCATATCTCCCACCCATATCACGCACCCATATCACGACATACGTCAGTCAATCTATTCTCACTCACACTCACTTCACTTCCACTCAACTCCCACACTCCCTCAATTCATCTTCACACAATCATCTTGAAGAGCGCCATGGACAGCACCATACCGAGGAACAGTACGAAGGCGATGCCGACTCCGACTCCTCCCAGTACAGCGGCGTGTTCCATCACAAACTCCTGTACACGCTGCTTACAGCCGGCCTGGTAAGAGTCGTCGAGTGTGCACGATCCGGGTTCTACCGGTCCCGGGCAGCACGAGTCGGGCAGGGGGCTGACATGGCCCGTCCAACTGGCGGGCCCGGTCACACCGCAGCACTCCATCTGAGGAAGGGACGGGGGACGAGTCAAGTAAACGGAGGGAGGGCTACGGGTCGGGTCACACTGAGACAATTCATTGAGGGGAGAGAAAGAGACAGGTAACTGTCTGAGGGACGAAGACTTGGTTACTGGCCACGGTATCTCAGGAAGGAACGAGCCACAATGAAACAGGTGACACACAATGAAATGAAACACAATGAAACAGCTGAGTAGAAAATTGATGACGGATTATACATAAGGCCTCCACACTCCAACGAGCTCATTGGAACGCTGAGTAGCCTCTTATATTTAATTAACACGTAGTCTTTAGTCTTCCATTTTGCTATAAGACATTGAATGTCGGTATCAAACCATTTATTTTCCTCTGCGTTACCTGTGACTGAGCGGCGTCCCAGGCATCCTTGGCCGCCTGGTTGGTCTCGTACTCGTCTTGCGAGGCCATCATCTGCGCCATGATGGTGTCCTTGACGCGATGTCTGAACACGTAGCTCACGATGCCGCCCACCAGCAGCACCACGAACAACACCAGCAGGATGATGAAGTACTGAGAACGCGGACATCGGGGCGGGATACAATGGTCAGCATCGCTGGCTAATATCAATCACACCATGGCTATAGATAATAACTCGGTGACGCTGAATACACACACTACTTCGATTCTAACTAGCCCTTCAACTCATGCCTCCCCTCTCATCCATATCCACAGCATACCCCATATTTCTACCTGTACTTTCCTATCCTTCACACATCTCCTCTAGCCTCATGACCTCACATGTCTCCTCTCCACCTCCACCCCGTTATCATTCCTCCTTACCGTAAAGAGCATGCATCGGACCTCCTTGATGGCCCCGAGGCAGCCGAGAAACGATATAAGAGTCACCACCACGCCGGTCGCCACGAAGATGTAGGCTGACGAAGCGTACAGATCGGTCCCCAGGAGCTGTTCGAACTCTGTCTTGTCAACCACCGTCCATATTCCAATGGCGAGAACTGCGACACCGCCCACCTGTTGAAGAGATAGAGGGGCAGTAAGTGATGGTAGAGTGGGGCATGCCAGGGGGCGGAGAGCCGAATTTTGAAGAGACGGGCGAGTCAGTCTTTCTGCACTTATTTCGTTTTGTTTTGTTTTGTTGGGAGCAGCTCGCATGAGATAAAGTTGCCTGTCCAGCCCGGAGGGGGGGGGGGGTTGCGGCGTGGAGGAGAAGGATTTCAGTATCCTGAGGATAGAAGCACGGAACGGTGTGACTTATTTCGTAGACGGCACAGACTGAGAGTTGTGGAGGTAGACCGAGTGAAATGAAGGTATGTAAGTCGAGCTTTCACTACTATAGTAGGTACTCGTGAACGGCCTGTGCAGAATAACTGCATTAATGACATAATTACATCGCATAGTTGGTGACTGTTTGACATCTATTCATTTGGTTCACGTTCTAGCCATGGGAATCACTGGTGCCTGGTACACCAGGCGCATCGTCAGTATGCCTGTGGTCGGGTGCAGGTGCTGCCACCTAGATCAATCGCTCGGAACTAAAGCTTCCGTACCTGGTTCACAGGTTAGGACTTAGGTCCCTGTCGAGACCGACCTGCAGACTAGACCTTCATTCACTTAGAATTCCGTTGTCATGTGAACGTAAACAGATCCAATTTAGGTATGCAAGCTGGGCATTAGGCATATAGTGTTTGTAACCTCCGTTGCTGGAGCATCGTACAACCATAGCAATGCTAGCGAATTTAACGAAGAGCAACGACGAAAACGGGTCAAACAGGGTAAGCGAGACCTTACTGATGTCCTCTTCTAATTTCAGATTCTAATCAATGCGATTTCAGCCCGAAGGACAGTTTCAATTTCATAAGCTACCCATCACCAACTAAAATATGCAAATAAGTCACTTGATTTTCCAAAGAACTTACCAGTATTAGGAAATTGGAGAAGAACAGCAGGTATTTTACGCACTGGCCGCATCCCTCCATCTCCTGTCCTTTCCCCATGGCTGTGCTGTCAGATTACCTGGAAAAAATAACGATTGTTGTAAGGAAGTTTTACAGTGACGGTAAATGTGCAAGGCAAAGGAGAGCTGGGGTAATTATGTAGGACAAAAATAAGGCAAAATTATTATTTCGTGATTTCGTGGTTTTAGATGCCGTGAAGAAAGCAGACGCTTCGTCAATTACGGAAAATGAATAGTCGGAACGGTTACCCAACTTATTATTACTGAAATGACAATAAAGAATACAGTTGAGTTAATTGCATCACCACAGACTGCGTGTCAATAAATATATAGTATCCCGTCTTAAAAGTGAGCCTACCTACTCTAACGCACAGCTATTCGAACTAATTGCTCCTCAGTAGACGCTAATTGTTTTGCTTTGATTATCAGACCGAAGATATAGCAATATTTTTATCGTTTGTTATAATTTTTAGGTACATTATTTTTCATCCTTTTCATTATCCGTAATTCTATCATTATAGTTTTACCATTAATAGCGTCATTTCAGAGATTTCTTTTTCTGCAAGCAGATTACATTCATCTCACGGCTGTCGACCGCTGCTCACATTATATCAATTTGTTTGATGCCTGCTCGGTATTTGCGTGCAGGGCACCAGAAACATTGCCTGATGGGTACCCGAACATACGGTCAGAGACGCAGGTGGGGAAGGGAGGAGAAGAGCGGGGAGGGGCAGAGGAGGGGGCATCGCACGGGCGTGGCTCGGTCACCTCCGTAATGACATGTCGCTCCTAATCCCATTACGGGACGCGTGCGGCGCAGCGGGGCGCTCCCGTGACCCCCATCCGTGACAGGCAGGTCACGACAGAACCTGTGCGCCGTGACACCAGCCGACAGAAGTCGTGATGGGAACGACAGTCCTGACTGGAGACGTGACAGAATCATCTGAATCTACATTTGTGCGCTACTGGTCAGCTTTGTTTGCTCAAAACTGATCACTCTGCGCTTTTCGCAGACTGAATACGAACGCATGAAATACAATGAATGTGTTTACGAAAAGACATTTGAACTGAATATCAGTGGATAAGTCGTTATAGGGGAGAGTGGGGTAATTTGGCCGCTTTTTTTAGAAAACGATGTAACTAAAAATCGACAACACATTTCTGCATTTTCTCAGCGCTGACAGGTGTGGCATACATTTTACTTCCTTGGACAGTAAACTTGAAATGATAGATTAACTACTTATATTGAAATTGTGACGTATTACAAAGGTCTGCAAAGCGGCCAAATTGCCCCACTAGCAGGGTTATTTGGCCGGGGGTGTGGGGCAATTTGGCCGGTGTTAGTTTGAGGCCCTGATTTTTGTTATAAGCGAGTCAGATTCACATTCAGCAATGACGTGTGTCCTACGACGCATTTGAAGCATTTTGGAGATGGCTCAGCCGTCACAGGGGTCGAAAATAGTCAAAAAAGCGGCTTTAGATGCGATGACAGTTTTTTACGAATAGCTTTTGAAGTAATCAAGCTAGGCCAAAACTAAAAGTACCATCGTAATTCTCTCGTCATTCCGCATCGAAACATGTATGTGTTGACCTCGAGAGGTCAAGGTCAAAGGTTGGCTTCAGGTCACGCTACCTCAGGTCGCTTGACCTCAAGGTTACGTGAGTCCAAGGTCATCATGTATATCATTCGATGCGCCTTGACGAGCTGAACACAATGAGACCATTTGCGCGGCTGTATCTTTTTCTGTAAGTATTTATTAGCAAAAAAGCGTTAGGTAACCTTTGATGACGTCACATGCCCTTACAGCTGTCCAATAGGAAATATGGCATCAAGGTAGTCAAAGTTGGTCATGAATTATGTCCTTTATGGTATAATTGACCATGACAACTCGGCCGGCCCAGCATAGTGACTCTGAGCGCGCCGGCCAAGTTGCCCCGCTAGTCCCGGCCAAATAACCCCACATTGCCATTCTGAAAATGTTTGTCTATAAAGTCGTCATGGATGTACAGAACTAGATGAAATTGCTCTTGGAACCGCTGAAAACCCTCAAAAATGGCACTATAATGTTGGGATTCGTTTACAGCCCAAATACTTCATGTTATACAAATTTTTAAATGGAAGTAAAAGTTACCATTTTCTAACGAAATTCACCTTTTATTAATTTTGAATAAAACTAAGAGGGGGAAAGTTTTGACATTTGTTCTCGAGTTAGTTCTGCCGATGACAAATGAATAGAGACTAAAGTTATTTCATTCACTTTTATCAGCTTTCGTACAGGTGGGGGCGGCCAATTTACACCACCGGCCAAATTACCCCACTCTCCCCTACGGAATAAAAGGATGATTTGATTGTCACACTATCTAATGCCAGAAAATACAATAGATTTATATGCCAGTTCCATCAAAGCGCATCGCTCATCTTTAAACACCGACAGACTTTAAATAAAGTGAAGCTTGAAAAAAATATTTTTATTTTTGTTTTTTTATAAATTTAGTCCGAACCTTTTGATGGGAAGGATTCACAAGGACAGAGCCACCGCTAAGCGAAGCTTGTTGCGATGACCCTGCCCTCTACCCTCCGATCGCACAATTCCGATTCTATGGCAGAATTTAGAGTCCAAAGTTTTACGTGCGCACAAAGCCGCGCACGGCCGGTCCCCTCGCTGACTTCGCCTGGCTACGGCTTGCCACCAACCGCAACCATACCTGTCAGGAGGCCCATAAATGTCGAGCGCCCGTCGCGCTTCGAACCCGGACTGTCATAACCGGGAACGCGTGCTCTCACCACGCGGAGTCCAACGTTCTAACCAACTGAGCTACGGGATCGGATTATAAAAAGATAGATGAAGCCGTTGACATAGCATTGCGGTTTTGGCAAACTGACGGATGCCAGTTAGGAGATAAATTTCTAAGAACGTCCTAAGCATTTCTATTATTTTCTACACATTATTGCATGCCAGCAATTTTTTCAAAACAATCGAAAGACATAAAACATGCCAATTGCAATTTATGATTTTGATTATTGCTGATTAGAATTGCAATATCAAAACCACAAACACAGAAAGCACTCTGCACTCACAGAAAACACTCACAGAAAGTATAATCGTATGCCAGGGTATATTGAATTAGGGGGTAGGACCAAGTTTAGTAGGCATGATCTCAGCAATTATCTTGTTTTATATGGCGGTTTTCATTATCACAATATTATTTTTGATATCATGAAGTTTGTACATCTCGGTTTTACGAAAAATAGTAGAGCAACAAAGATAAATTTTGCGAAAAAATAATTTTAGTTGGAAACATCCATTCTGGTATGCAAAATTCAGTATGAAGCCCAGTATGGTGACCATCTAGTGTGCTTCCAAGGCTGAGTACCTGATATCAACAGGAGTTGTTTACTATTTTGCCTTACGTTGCTAAGTGGTTGCTAGGGAGCTAAGGATACTCTCTTGCACGATCATTTGCACTTATTTTTCCTCATTATATCGACATGTCGCTGTTTCTGAGACCTAACTCATGCTAAGAAAAAAAGCAGTTTTCTTAAAATGTATATTAAAGTGTCGTAGCATTAACACAGCTCTGCAATTCTGCTTAAAGGGAGTAGGGACCCTCCCACCTTAACATTAGTTTTGAGTTGAGATAGCCAAGTTTGCGGCCAGGCTCAGAAACCACCATTTATCCTGGTCGCAACCCCCGCAGCTTTATGGTGTTCAAGAAATTTCTTCCCTTTACTTGCAGGGTGGGACCAGCGTGGTCCCTATCTCTTAACCATTATGGGAGTCTGATGACGTCATCAGGCTTTCGAACGTCCGTTAAATGTTTGACTAAAACGTTTTGTAGCACGCGGTGGTATATGCTGCTTTGCGCGCAACAAATGCCGCACTTTCAAATAAAGTCGCTAGGAACAGCGGAGATCCCAAAAAGTAAACAAAAGTAAAAGTCTAATATCTTGAAAACCGGTGAATATTTTTCGATGAAATTTGGTAGATATTCGTTTTTGCTCTTTCTGAACCGAGCGACATCACTTTCATGCCAATTCATTAACTTTTTTGAAGGTGGGAGGGTCCCTTTAAATATCTGCAAAATCCTGACTTCCCGGAAAATTGTTGTTGGTGATGGGGATCGAGCCCGTCGATGAAAAGTAAGTCAATATTCAAAGGCTTCAAAACGCTATTTCTTGTTGTTCTGTGAAATAGCAATGCAAAGACCGATGATAGTGCCAGTGTTGAGCTTTCCAATGAAGCATTGCAATTAGTGGTAAGGTTATCATCACCTAAGATATCTTCCATCAAATATTAGAATCCTGCCATTGTCTTGCTGTAGAACAGGGTTACTTTCAGTCTCTTGGGAACACGATTTGCCGGTCTCAGATCGAAAAACACTTCAAAAAGCGGTAATAGACAATGAAATTTCCCACCTGATAGCATCTCGGGTTTTTATATATCCTGTCTAGAATGTTCATAAATCCGACGTAAAAATGGCCAATTTCGTCAGATTCCGAATTTTTGACATTGGGTCTAATGTAAAGCATGGCTACTTTCAGTCTCTTGGGAACACGATTTCCGTACCTCAGATTGAAAAACACTTCAAAAGTCGCAGATAGTATACGATTTATTATACAAGATAGCATCTAGCTTTTTTCTGTATCTGGTCATGTATCTTCATAAAACCCTCTCAAATATAGTCAATTTAGCATTAAAGTCTATGGATTTAGAAGAATTTTCATATCCGACTAGATTTGGGCTACCATGTCTGTTGACCGGGGGCCGATCGTATGCGACCTACGGACTTCAGAACACTTTTTGGTGTCAAATGACGTGCTAAATTCAGTTACACACATTCGTAAGCAAGCAACTGTATCATCGTAACGATAAATGTTCGAAAAATCTGACGTAACTTGTATAAGAGCGAGCTTCTTGCGTAAAGAAAACTGCAGCAAAAATTTACTTTCGCAGGTCATGAAAAGGATTTTTCTTGCGTGCCGTTTTCTTAGCCGATCCACCGTTATAGGATGGAGCTCACATCCGCTCACATCCAGCCAGTTCAAAGCCAGTCATTA